CTGTTTGTGTGAGGGTGCGTCCTTGAATACGTCATCCACGGTACCGTTCTTTCAGTTGCGCACGATCTCGCAGGGTTAAAACGCAAGCCACCGTTTTCTCTTATTTACAGACTGTCGATCGACTTTTTTTTTGTTTGTAGCAAAATTTCGGTAAACTACTAATCTTTTCGTTTTTAAACAAATATATGCTTTCTTCGCGATATGTGTGATACTTGATATGTGTTTAAATGTATAAGATAGCGAAATGCGATCAAATATTTAGAGCAATTAAGACCGTTTTTGTGTATTAATCTCATGTATTAAAAAGAAATAGAATTTGATAGGTGTGAATACATTTATTCTCGACTTGAAATTTATCATTCTTATTTTGTCATTTGTAATTATTCTAATTGTTGACATACATGCTGCGTATAAGTATAGGTACCAGAAACTCTCACTCTGCGGCGGTCTCTCGATAATAGCATGTTACTAGGTGAGAAGATCATGCTCGATATAAGCAAGGTGCGTTTTACTTGGAAGCGTGGGAGAGGTGCGTGTCGAGGCAGCCGGTAGTTACTAAGAACGCGCGGACAGACCGCACGAAGGAGGAAAGCGAACGCTAACGACCGGTCACGTGTCCGACGAGCAAGATAAGGGTTGAAAAAGGAAATTTGTGTTTAGAAAATTACCACGTCATTACCCCGACCAATGAATGCCGCGGTGGCGTACGGACGAGCAGCGACACGGTAATGTCCGCCCACGAAACGATCGTCGGCGTGATAAGAATGAGTCGAAGAAGAAATTAGAAAGAGAACGCGTGGAGCCGGCCGTGCCCTCCCTTCGGGAAGAATTATCGAGTATTTCGCGGCGATAAGCGACCCCTCGAAAGCGTGACTGGGTAAATTCATCGTGGACTTCATTATTCGACAACTCAAGAGCTTTCGATTCTTCATTTATATCGTATACCTTCTCCTTCTCGCGCTGTACTCCTCTTTGTACTCCTCTATGTTATTCTATCCGTGGCCGAGCCATTAGCTCGCGTTTTCTCATCAACCGCCACTTGGAGGCCTCTTTATCGAAGACATCGTTGTGCTCTTTGCTTTGCCCGAAGATGCCATTTATATAGATTAAAAATCCCGTTTATAAATCTCTTCTTTCAATCCATAATCCATAAACAATGTTTCAGTATTTCAAACGAACTCGTTGGGAGATGCTTGGCGGACGAGCGAGATGTTTGTAGTCATAATAAAAATTAATCAATTTTTTTGAAGCAATTATTTACGAAAAGATACATTTTTATACCAATGTTATGATTGTTATGCAAGTGAATAAGAATTCCCAATTGAGTGTCAAGCGTGAAACTTGCAGAAACGAATAAATGTGTGTCAAAAAGAAATTTTGTTCGCTGAAAGCGGAAAATCATTGTCCGATTCTCGTACTCGTTCCGAGGCGACCTAGGTTTTTCGTGGCGAGGTGGATTCACCGTCCGGTTAGGGCCGTGTCGTGCGCGCGTTGTCCGTTGTCCATTATACGACATAAAATTTCTTCCGTCCCAGCAGATAGGATCTGCTACCTCAGTCGCGTGTCCTACCGTGGGATCTGATAACGAACGAACCCGAGTTCGCCCGCACATCTCTCTTTCTCATACGCTATCTCTCTCTCTCTCTCTTTTTCGCGCTCGCGGGGGTGGAGGGAGGGGGTTGAACCGACCGATCGGTCGACCGACAGACAGACGGACGGATGGACGGACGGACGGACGGACGGGGGAGAGATGCGAGGTGATAGAGACGGGTACGCGCGCATACACACACCGCACAGACGTGAACACGCGCGCACACATTGTACCTCGGATCGTAGACGACCCCAATCATCCCCCACGGCGTGCTTCATCGAACGAAGGCTGTCAATATCGTTGGTATAAGCAGGTCCGATGATGTACGCGCGACGTCAACGAGTCTCTGTAAGATATCGGACGTGCTTTCGATTCGACGCGAGCGTGAGCGTGAGAAAATAGGGTGCGAACGATCGCTTTGTGCACGGCCGCCGTCTCTCGTTCGCCGCTCTTTTTCTATCACTCTACTTCTCGCTCTATCCTCCTTCGCTCCTCTCTCCCTCGCTCTCTTTCTTTTTATCCGTCTCTTCTCCGATTTTCTCCGCCATCTGCTGCGCCGGGGGATGCAATGATAAATGACGTCATCGAGGAAAATGTTACGATTACGGAAATTGTACTTGTATGCGTTGTCATTAATGTATGACCCTATTTATAAAAATTACATTCGCTATATTACGTCGGGTATTCTCAGCGTTTTCTGATAAGTATGCCCCTTGTATTTTTAGTTAAATACCAGGACGGCGATAATAACTAATTTCGTTGCCTCCTTTTATAACAACTTTGCCAACAACCGTACGTGAGGAATATCCATAAATATTGTAACTAGGGGAAAAGTACATATTCGTGTTACATTATCGGCGCGCGGGGGAAAAAAAAAATAGAATTTTTGCACTCTTTTTTCCCTTTGTTACGGTGCATGCGTCGATCCTTTGATATCAATGAATCGATAGTTGGAGATTCATTGGAGGATCAATCACTAAGAACGCGCTTAGGCTTCTGATCGACGGTCTGTATATTTTATGCGGGGAACGAGACGACGATATAATAATCGAGCATAGCAGGTGGCAGCGACGGCGGTCTCGGCCCATTCTCGTGACAAAAGTACAACGATGATCTAGGGAGGGAAAAGAGGTGGAGAAGGGTCGGCCGCGCGCACGTAGGAGCGTAGAATAATGTAGCGAGGCATTTCCGCATAGGAAGCCGTGCATTAGGCTATCAGATCGAGCACGCGCGACAACGGCATGGTAGAGGAAAAGGAAGAAAAAGTTGCGGGGCAAACCTTTACGTGATTAGGGGGAAAAGAAAGAGTTTCATGCAGAGACAAAGAATAGACATCTTTAACGTTTCCTTTAATTAACTTTTCTCAAGAAAATCTTCAGGCATGTAAGTTTCATACCATTTTTCGATTAGAAGCGAATAATAGCGAATTGTAAAGAACTCTCCTGAATTTTGTCTTACAATTAAAATTTTCATTAGGAAAATAATAAATTAAAATCCTATTTCAGATATAAAAGCAAGAGAAAGAGAATATCACTCTAAATTATTGATATATATACTTTCATATTAATATATATACTACCAGATGTATCTCGTATATAAGAAAAATAAATGGAAACTTTTGATTATATCATGGTATATACCGTGACTAACATGTTCTACATTTAGAAAGCACGTTCACGGTTATAATCGGATATATCGATGCAAGCGAGTCACATAGCGCAATACCACGGCATACCACACGAAGCGTTTGATTCTTTGGATTTTAGATTTGATTTTCGAATTAATGAGGAAGCAACTGTTCGGTTTACTTAAGAAAATTTCAATTTATAGCGAGTTCGAAAATGCGAGAAACAATTCACAATAAATCTCATTAAGGAAGATTTCGGGGAGGGTAGGTGGAATGGCGAGGAGGCGAAAAAACCCTCGGGTCAAATGTACCGAAATATGTTGAAGCGGTAATTAGCTTTGTGCGTATACCGTGAAATACGAGCGTGCAATTTCGCCGGACGTTTGGAAGTTTCGCAAACAAACCACGTGCTTGCTCTTTTATCTACGATTCCACTCTTTTGGATAGGCCCCGATGAATAAAGTTACACAGAACAATAGATTGATAATTAACAGCGATGTTCGCGTCGCTGTCAAAACGGACAGAATCCTTTTATTTTTTTTTCGCAATTTTACGCGTATGACGTTCCATTCCGCTCGATTATCTTGGTCTACAACCGAACGACGTTAAAAAAGATGCCTGGCGGAACGCTTCAACGACGAGTCGGCCCAGCAATATACAATATAAGATATTGTAATTAACTCGACCACTCAGAACAACTAAGCGCCCGCTCGTTAACGTTTTATTTATCGTCGTACGTATGCATTTTTTATTTAGAACAGTATATCTCAAGCACGTGGTCTCCGCACGCCGTAATTGTGAGAGAGCGCGATGTCGGCGCGCGCGAGGGACTTACGATTTTCACGAGAGTGGACATCTCGCGATAAGAAAGCGGTAATAATGTAACGATGAGGGCACGCGCGCGCGAGCGATCCACCTTCGACCGCCTTGTATCTTGGATCTGTACTGTACTCAGCCTAATTATAATCAGGCTAATGCCTGCCGGACAGTATGCGTCGGTACCTACCGGCCTCCTACGCTTCTATACCTGGCGCTATGTAGGTAGCGTTACTTATCCCCCAGCTGCTCTACGAGAGAGGGTAATTAAGATTCGGACACACCCATCGTGACTCTCGTCTCTTGGGCTCTGACCGCTTCTGCAAAGGGAGTGGTCGATCCCTCGAAAACCTCGTTCTCGTTTGCATACACGAAACGCGCCTCTGTTATCAGAGAAACGTCTTCTACGATTCCATTCTTTAAAGGGAACCACCGCACGAGATGTCGAAAATGTCCGAGATTACGTAGGGGAGTGGCGACACGGCTGTCCGCCGTATCCTTGAGATTTTCTACATGACCGTCTGCTCGTTCTCGTTGGATTTAGTTATCCATTCAGCAGTGGTAACCGTGCCGAAAATAATTCTCGATTTGAGTGAGATCGAAAATACGCGAATCAATTGCATACATGAAGATTTAATCCAGATAGATAACAAATTTAGATTTAAAAGGCACATTCATTCATTCAAATTACCTATAAAAACATCTTCCTCCGTATACGAACGATGTTTTTGGTGAGATATCTTTAGGATCTTTGGTTTTTCGCGCACGATACTCTAGAGCGAGAGAACGGTAGAATATACGCGAGAAACAAGCCGCTCGCGTAGACGTATAAGTTGAAACGGTAGAATATTACGCAAGAAACAAGTCGCTCGCGTAGATGTACAAGTTGAAAAGACTTATTCGCTACGTTGCTGAGCTATACCTAAGTTCAAAACTACTGTAAGTTCAAAATTATACATTACTCACCGGAAGTTGGAGAACCACTTGACCAGCTGCGCTGTATTGTTTTTATTAAACTTGATGTCGGGGAAGTACATCTTAAGGACGGCCGAGGATGGGTACCTGACCCAGAAGAACATCAGCTTCGCCTTCCTCAGATGCATCGGCGTCAGCGTCGACGAGTTCACCGCGGTTAAGGAAATAGTCATTTTGCGATCTATATAAATATATATAAACACATAGAAATGTGTATGCGAGAGGCGGAGGAATTCTCCAATAAAAAAAAGGATTAAGAGCTAAGAGAGAAAAGTGCGGTAGAGAGAAGCGTCGACTCGTTTCTCGGTCCGAGTATCTCAAACATAATCGTGTTTTCTTTCGTATCGAATTGGATCAGAAATCGTACAAATTGCGGCTATCGCGAGGGCAGGCGATAGAAGGGTTCTTACCGCGAAGTTGATCTACGATTGGCCATATCCTCAGCAGAAGCCTTACCGACTCCTTATTGGTAATAGGATCTCTACATGTGGTTTCATCGCAATCTTATTCGATTAATTCGCGCGACTCTGGCCGTATTGCTACAGCACTTTCGACTTCGTTTACCCGAAACGCGTACGCTCGTATTCGATACCATAAACGTGATATATCGGCGCGTAATCTCGCGTTAATCTCAAGCTGAAAAAAAATTCCTGATAGATTCTCTCGAAAGAAAGAAAAAGTAAAGAGGGGCGTAGGCATGCAACAAAATGAATTCGGATGCGTCAAATGCCAGCGAGAACCGCGATGGAGACTATAGGATGATGCGTCCGGAGGAGCGCGGAACAGCAGATCGTGTCACGGCGATGCACAACGCGCTCGACCTACCCCAAGAGAGAGGAGGGAGTGAAAAAAATGCGCCATTGATTTTACATCAAAGGCCGACTAAAAAGGCGGCAAAGAACGGCACGCTAGCCCGATCGAGCAATCCGGTCCAACACGCCGATGCAGTTCCGACATTGCATCGGACGATCGGCGCTCACACGAACCCGCGCGCGACACTCGCCTTTTTTTCCTCGCTGCACCGAGGCGAACTCCCCGATTCGCGAGCCACCGGATCTCTGCACGCTCTTTCGGTAACTCAGAAGCAAGCCGCGGTGGAGTGGATCATGCACGATAATCGAGCTGCTGAACCATTCGTTTTCTGACGATCCCAAAAGTGCATCTTAATCGCGATGCAATCGCGGCTATTTTAATCATTTTGAGAAAGGTCAACAATATTTTTAAAATAAAACTACTGGACATAATCTTTTATTAATATGCGATTCCTTAAATTGATATATAATGTAACTCAAATCGTTCGGCAAAATTAGAATTTTTTTTTCCTTTACCATGTTAATCTATAAATTTTTAATATTAATTGTTATCGTATATATTAAACATATTATTTTAAATATTTATTATTATTTATGCATACTTAAAAATGTGTAATAAATTACTGAAAAATATGATTTGTCAGACAACGCAAATTAATTTCTAATAAACTCAATTAAATTTAGTTCTAATAAAATTTGCATTCTATCATATACGGTTCTTTATCAGAACTTTTCGGACTTTACCAAAATAGGTGACCAATGTAAATGTAACGAATGAAACAGCATCTTTCTTGCGCGTGTCGGAAAATGAGATAAATATTTGCAGACAAAATTCGATATTCAGAAATTTTGCCTTACGAAGGCTCGTATCACCGAGATCAGCGAAAGTAGCTTAGGATAAGCCGAGGAGACGCTCGAAATGTGAAGTTCGCGAAACGCTCAGGCTGAATTGCGAAATTGCGGGACAGATTATTGGCTTGCGAAGTTGGGTGAGACTGCAAGCCGAGGGTGGGCCGAGGTAGGTAAAGAACTTTTGGCTCGGTGCGTTGTTGCCGGACAAACTCTACTCGTAGGTGCAGCCAACATTAGCCTAACTCCGTGGCAAACTAATCTAACATTCGTCCGAGCTTCCTCGCTCCAGCCGCCTTCCAAGCGAGCGAGTGAAACGAGCCATTTTGCCCGGCTTTTTCTCTCTCTCTCAAAAAACTCGCCGCTACATCCTAAACTTTTCGCGCGTTTCGCTTCTCTTCTATCTCAAAAAATATCCCTGAGTATCTTAATCGTTTTCTCTAGTATTTCTACATTCTTTTTGACGCCAGAATTAATCTTCAGATAACATATTTACATATTTACAGTATTTTTCATTTTAATTTTAATTAATTCTTTATTATCTATAGACGAACGATTAATATCAATTTTTCCAAACGTTTTAATTATTATAAAATGTATATTATGATTTTAAAATGTTATCTGAAGAAAATTTCATAAAATTGCAGAGCATTATTACCAATTGCGCTCTTCAGCATATGGGTATTAGAAAAGGATATTGTAGGCTGAATTCCATCGTAGCTGATGTCGCCGGAATTGCAGTCGCTAGCTCGGTCGTTGCTGTCCATCCTGAGGTGTCCGTAGTCCGGACTACCGTGCTGGGCTGCCGCCAGCAAGGCTGGATGCAACATCGCCGGCGGATGGGGCAGTGGAGGGGAATCCCTGAGTTCTACACCTCCACCCGGAGGACTCGCGGGTAAATGATGTGGCCCCGGCGGTGGTACTTGACCAGGATGACTCGCGTGTGGATTGAAAAACGGCGAATAGGGCGAGAACACTTGACTCTCGTGGAGGCTTGGATTTGGTATCGCTACGCTGGTTGGCAGGGACACCGGCAGCATCGGTGGTGGCGCGTGGTAGGGTCTCGGTGGTGGAGGAGGCGGGGGACTATCACTACCTCCTTGAGATCCGTTTCCCTCTTGCGCTAGGATTCTGGACACCGTTCTGGGAGTAATTCTTGTATCCGTCACCTGTAAAGCGTACTAATTAGTATTTTTTTTTTAGTCAGATTTATTAATTTCTCATACTTAATATAACTTAATATAATTTATGACTAATTTTTATAATCTTTTATATATTATAACATCTTAAATAAAAATAATAATAAAAATCAAGAGATATAATACTTTCGCTGTGATTTCATTGACTTTAATTTACGTAGTGTTATTCGAAAATTATGAATGACTTGAAGTTAATATTCTTTTTATATACATGTAAAAAATTCTATAATTTACGTATACATTTATGTCAACAACATATCAACTTATATCAATATACATATTATATAAATATTATTACAAATTTTATATTTAATTTATATAAATGTGATAACAAATTGCAATGCTTACCTTATGACGTTTTTTCTTCGGCGTCATGACAAGTGACAGGGCCTCATTTTGTTCAGAGTCCCTGTTTTCTCTCTCGTCACCTCTCATATTGCAGTATTGGTCGCGTTGTTGCTCCCTTTGTTGCTGCTCGCGTTGCTGCTGTTGCTGTTGGTGTTGCTGTTGTTGCTGCGCCTGCATGGAGGCCTGCATGGCGTATATCGTCGGCGGTTTTGGGGTCTGAAACATTCCAACGCTCGGCCTTCCGTGCGAGGGCAGCTGATTCATCTGATTAAGATTGTTTTCCGTGGGGCCAGCATGAGGGCCATGGGGCACACCACCTATGGATCCGATTTGTGAAAACCCCGTGGGCTGTGGAGGAGGGGGCCCACCGTTGAGGGGCCCCCGTGGCCCGTTTGGGCCACCGGGTGGTTGCGGAGCTCCTCTGTCGACCACTTTCGTCCTGGGCGATTTTCTTTCGAGCATTTGGCTCGCCAAAAGGAGGTCCTTATTGAGCTGCTCGGCAGCAGCCTGCGCTGCCTCGGTTTGTTTACCGAGAAACCTCCTCTGTTGCACGAACCTCGATACTATGCTGTCAATCAGATTCGTTAAAGAAGAAGTTATTTCCGTCTTCAAGATATCCGCCAGGCCTTCCAAATCGGCTCCGGTAATATGAGGACCGGACGAACTGGCTGCTGCGGCGGCACCTCTGAAGACGTTTAACCTTTCTTGGAAGTCTTTATGTTGAATGGGCGTACTGGCTGATTGCATTTGCGGCGTCTGCGGCGTCGAAGGGCCAGTGTTATTCTGGCTCTGTTGCTGAGATTGGCTTGGTGGCGGTGGCGAACTCTGTCGTTGATGTTGCTGCTGCTGCTGTTGCTGTTGTTGCTGCTGCTGCTCCTGCTGCCGCTGTTGCTGCTGTTGCTGCTGCTGTTGCTGTTGCCGCACAGCCGCTTCTTGATGTTGTTTCATTCTCTCGAGGGCAGCATGCTGTTGTTCAAAGTAGAGTTTATGCCCCATGTGATACATAGCGGCAGCCGCTGCGTGGGGGTGATGATCAGGTGGGAGGGCCGGGAGACCGTTGTACGGCGGTGGATGAGGTCGTGGCGGCCTCGGTGGTGGTTGCGGTTGATGCTGAGGACTGGGTGGCGCATCACCGCTCTCACTTGTATCTGGCTCCATTCTACTGGAGAGCTCCATGTACTTTTGTTGCATCTCCGCCAATTGCTCGTGCAGCATTTTCAATTGTATTTTCAAATTATCTTTTTCCTCCCGTTTCTGCCTGATCGTCGCAGGGTCCTCCTCCTCCTCGCTCTCGTCTTCGTCGTCCATCATGGTATCGTTGACACTATGCTGGAGAACGTGATGCACTGTCTGTTGCTGAGGTTGATAGAGCTTGCGCTTCTTGCAACCGTTCACCGTTGCTGGCTGAAGCGCTGGGCTACTGCGCATCGTGCTGACGATGTTCTCCACGCGGGCGCGTTTAATCTCCGTCGTTGGAGAGCTCGTCTCGGTCTTCGGCACGATCGGACAAGGAGAGTGACTGGGGCTACGTTTGATATTCATCGACTCCTGCATCTCTTCCTTGACGGAGACCGAGCCCGATCTTGGTGCCGTTGGGCTAGGAGGCAGGCTCTGCTCGCAATCCGATCCGTCCAAGTTTGCCCCCGGTTCCATACCGGCCTCGGCAAAGGCCTCCTCCATCGCGCGTGCCGCAGAGGCAGCATCCTCAGCGCTGTCCTCAGCATCGCCCGGCATCACGGTATCGCGGTCACTGTGATTCGCGTTATTCACGACGTTATTACCATCACCACTCTCTTCCCCGCCACTCTGCACTGTTCCACTACGCGCACTATCACTATTTTGTTGATGCTGTTGGGGACTCTGCTGATGCTGTGATTTAAGTAATTCCGCGGTAGTATTGTTATTGTTATTACTGTGTATACTGTTGTTATTGTTCGGCTGCTCCTGCACGCCGAGAGCGGAGAGTTTACGCCCCTGCAGAAGCATGTCGCGTAACATGTGCTGCGTGAGATCAGCCGTGGCGGGATCATCACAATTAACCACGGCGCCCGGTTGCAAATTCGAGGCGGGATCCATGCCGGCACCGGTCATCCCGTGGCCGCCCTCTGGCGGGGATCCGCCAGCGTCACTGGCCTGTTTGACCTGCCTTCCTAATAACTCGTTCAGCATCTTGGCGGGGCCGAAGCCCGGAGCCCCGAAGAAGCCGAAGGCCGCGTGGGCGGAATGCTGCTGGGTTGTAGGACCCGTCGTAGCTGTACCTAAATGACTTTGACTGCCAGTCGCTCCAGCCTGTTGCTGGAGTTGTTGTTGCTGTTGTTGCTGCGATTGCGACTGGTGATGTTGCTGTGGCTGTTGTTGCCCTGGCTGCTGTTGCTGTTGATGTGACGGCGGTCCACTACCACTGAAGATCGAGCCGTATAGACCACCACCGAGAAAGGATGGCCGGGAGCTAAAGTTCGGTATACTCGAGTAGCTGTTGCGCGGCTCGCCGGCGTCCACGCGCTGTCTGGTGCGCTTCTGCTTCTTCAGGAGTTGCTGTTGCTTGCTTTCCGTGGTTGCTCCGTAGAGGGCGAAACACTCGGTCTCCTCCTCCGATGACATCATCGGCCGTCTGGTTGGTCGGCCCCCCGAAGGCCTCCGCGTCCCCTCCCCGCCAGGGCTTCTTGTCACCCTCCCCTCGCTCGAATAGCCCCTCGTGGCTCAGTGCGCTGCCTCGGCTTCTGCACTGTGTAGTCTCTCCGGTACCCCTACTACAGCTGCCTTTTCTCCGCGCCTTTTCCTTCTAGCTAATGCTCCCCACCTTGTTCGCCACCGACCACCACCGCCTCTCCACTTCCTTTGCCTTCGCCGTCTCCTTCTCGGTCTTCTTCTCCTCCTCTTCCTTTTCCGTCTTCTTCGCCGCCACCGCCTCCTCCTCCTCCTCCTCCTCTGCCGCCTCCTCTGCTTTCTCCGCCGCCGCCGCCGCTGACGACGACGCCGGCACCCTCCTCTTACCCGACGAACTCCTGCTTCCGCCTCTTCTCCTTCTTCTCCTTCTCTCGCGCTTCCTCTTCTTCTTCTTCCGTCGTTCCTCGCTTTTTCTGTGCTTTCTTTTCACTATTCCTCGCCCCGCACCTTCCGCCGTAGAGCTGACGCCAACGGCTGAGGCTGCTGCTCGGTGACTTGGTGTCGGACGTCCGCCTTCGTCTCGGGATGGCGGGTCTTCTTCGGAAGATTCGATTCGTTATCGGGTCTGTATCCGCTGCTGTCGTGCTTCTTACTACCTCTGCTACGGTAATTGTTATAACCGGGACCGCCGCTGTTGCTACCGATGCGTTTACTCCCGGTGATTGTTGCGATGTTGTTGCCGTTGATGATAACCAGAAGGGAAGCCGGTATGCTCGCGTGCGGAATCCTCGTGCTCCCGCCTGGGAGCTGCATCCTTCGAGCTCGCCAAAGGGCTAAGTGCCCCTCGCTCCCTCGTCTCGATTTTCGTGGCCGCAATTCTCCGATACGTCTGTAATGAAAAAAGACGACGGTTCATCTTAGCGATCTGTGCCGGCTAAACGTATATATCGCTTGTCTCTATATGTATATAATAAGAGAATCGATTCAAAGGAACGATAATAGCATAGAGTTGAGTATTTTAAGCCCTGTATATAGACCGTTGCATTGAAAGAAACATCGTTTCCGTAGATAGGAAGTACTCGATGGTGTGTACACTTGTCATTTCATCTTATTATTAGCTTATCTTATTTTAACCGCAATACGAACCGCAAGAATGTTTAAAGCGGACTATTATAGATGCATCGTTAATCCTCATAATCATAATGTGCTCTTTGCAAGTTTTTTCTATGGAAGATACAAATATGTGCGTACATTTTTATTTTACTAATATTCTGTTTTAATATTCTATCGTTTCATATTTAGACACACATATAGATATATCGCGATAAAAATTCTTAGAAATTAAGGAATTCTGTAAAAAATATTTCTTACTTTCCGAGAGATATGGACATACGATTCGAGAAAAAATACATTAATATGCAAGATGACGCATGACGTCACGACACGATAGAACACGAGAAAGGAGTGCGAAGTGTTATCGGTTAAAAATACAATGATCGACCACGGCGAGGGCGACGACGACGACGACGGCGACAAAGAAGAAGAGCAGACCGCGGGTGACAGTTGCAAGCAATATGTTTCACCCTCCGTCCGAACACCCTGCGGCCGATGGGAGCAAAAACTCAAAGTATAGTGAGTTACGAGGGGGTTAGGCGAAGAAGGGGGTGGTTCGCCTCAGAAGCGACCATAAGAAAATTACTTGCGTTGAATATCTTATTCGATACGTAAGCAGTTCCGCCTAGAGTGGTCTCTTCGCCGGGGGATGCATACCGTCGTCGGTCGATATACTCGGTGAAAGAAAAGGGGGACACAAAAAGTAATTGATAGTCCACTCATTGCTCGCTCGATCATAGACCAGGCCCATCTGGCTTGCTCGGATAAAAAAAATAGAATCGAGCTCCTCTGTGCGTCTTTATATTATATATATTCATACAGCCGATCTTCACGTTTTCATTTTTGTTCATAAATTTGCCGCTCGCTAATACCGATTTTATTATAAAGCCAATGAGGTAACAGTATATCGTTATTGTCGTTACAATTATTTACTCGGCACAAAATTTTTTTAATAGTATCCGTTTTTGTTGCAGTCTCCACACGCGCAAATAATCGCTCTTCATTCGTCAATGGTATACGGCCTGTTAGAAGCTTCGATCGTCATGCAGTTCAATTGACGCTGCGTATAAGTGCGTAAGTGAGACGTTTGTGTAGTCGCACGTATGCGTTACGGTATAGAGCTTGAATACGTACTAATACAGTGTGGATGAGCACACGCGTTTGTGCACACGTACGCGAGATTCGAAGCAACAGCTGAGCAGTTTAAAGCACCTGCGCTCAATAAGCCGACAATATTCCATAGTTCGCCTACGCGTAAACCCCCTGCGTACGAGGACACCCCGATATTCGTTCCAATACGTATCAAGAAGTCAAAAGAGTTTGCAGAGAACAATGCGTGAGGTGTCGCGAGGCAAAGGAAGTTTAATGAAAATTGTATTCCGTGAATAAAAGTAACATTTTATTCTTTTATTTTACTTTACTGAGAGATCAAACTCTTTATAAATGTAATTAACATTATAATTTTTACAAACAGATGTTGTAAGAATGCATGACGTGATAAGAAATAAAGCGTATTGAACGAGGTTGCGGCAACCGTCGTAAAGATAATATATTTTTCTTTGTTGTAGATCAAAAATTGCAAGTTGCGTAACAGGAAGGCAGATTGTTGAAATACGCGTGCGTACTTGAAGTATCATCGACGTCCTCATTGCGCACTTGAATCACTATTACATAAACGTTCAATTACAGCAAGTTAGCGCGCGTTCTCGGGCGTTTCCTCGAAGAGGAGCGATTCATTCTGAGAAATTACTAGGCAGTTCCGTTGGCAATTACTTTAGAGGGGCGCAGCGCTTGTTGCGGCCCTCGTTACTCCAGAAGTGACATATGGTGTCGACCTCGATAAGGTCTACGGGACGACGATTGTACCTGGATAGGAGTGACGCTTCGAGGGGGGTCAGACTTCAGTCTTTCCCGTTTTTGATCGGTACTTCCCCGTGTGCCGTCATGCGTGGGACGAAAAGGGGAAAACAAAAAGGTGCCGGTGCCCTGCACCGGAAATGGCTTCAGGAACTCTCCCACTGTTGCGTCGATTCGGAAGTAGACGCGACGAGCTAATTACACGCGAGGAGTGTGTTCGCCAAGGTGAGCGCGGGAGAAAGGGTCTTACCGCTACTAGTATTCGATAACAAATTTTTAATAACTACTCTAAAAATAAATGGATACCTTTTTTTTCTTCTCGTTTTAAAATGCAAATTTTTTTCTTACAACGTGAAAATTTTTATCTTACAATATACGAAAAGAAATTGCACCGCTGTTATTGCGAAGGAATTGAAAAAAAAACTGCGGAAGTAAAATATACGGAAGTTAAGCATATATATTAAGCGTAAGTCATTTTTGTTTATAGTATTAGCGACTATTAAAGTGCAACAAAAACACACATCGGCAAGTCACCAATGATCATTTCCTGTACGTCATACGATATTTACCATTTAAGCAGGTGGGTAGATTTCAAAGCGTGATTATAGTGCACAGTGATAGGGTCCGCAAGTAATACGTAGGATAGTTAATGCATGGGGAGCCCTCGATGGAACTTCAAGGTGATAGTCAATAATATTACAAGTGATCACTTCTTTTTTTAAGTAGATGACGACGCGTGAAAAGTCGCGCGAGTTTAATAATGATTCGAGAACGATGCAACTCTTCCACGAGAAAATTTTTACGAACCCTTGTACTTCCGCTATATTCTCGTGCGTGCGAACAATTTTTAGTTCCCCCTACGAAACAACCGAAGAAATGAAGGAAGATAGTTCCTACGTGAGCATCACATGGTGCGCCTACCCCACATGGCGTTGTCGAGGTAACATAGCGGTGGCATGTGCATCGGAATTCCACCCCCTGTAGGTGTCATGTGGTGAGTGTTCGCAGGGGGTTGCATGGGAACTCGACTGTGGTCATCAGTCCATGTCCATCGCCGTATATATACGCACGCACGACGCTTAGGCACGTAGCCGACTCTTCAACCCTCCCGGTATATAAAATTATTGCAACATTCGTTTCGTCATTATGCCTACGACGATATTGCAGGGGAGAATAGGCATAGCTCGTAGCCGTAACACGCATCCGCAACCGCACAAACACGACCATCGTCCGTGGTCTTGCCTAAGCGCAAACGTGTAGACACGCGCACACGCGCGCAAGCGAAACGTACGCGCCGGGGTACTCACACGCGTCGGCGGGCGCACACGGCGCGGCGGCCCATCGTGTATGTACACACACGGTTCACACGCGTTCAGCATATTATCGGCCTGCTCTGATGCAACAAGTTGACCGGGTGTCAATTGATGTGTTATTAATTGGAGGTTAATTGCGTTAATGCGCTGTCGACCCCGCCTCTCTGTCGTCTACCCGCTCTCCCACCCCCGACGCCCACCGCGCCCGCCTTCAACGAGCCCCACTGTTTTATTATTATTTTGCATTCGAATCGTTTCGATTCAACACACACTGGCACGCGCCCAAACCAAACTGGTGAGAGAAAGAGAAAGAGAGCGTGCGAGAGCGAGAGCCGACCCGGCAGGGCGCGAGCCGGAGAGAGCGCGAGAGAGCATTTAAAAGCGGCGGCCTGTCACCGATTTTCATAATTCACAGCTCGTTAAATTTGTTTCGCTTTTTGCCCCGCTTTTCGCGGTTACGCGCCCCGACGCCATTAATCTACCTTCGGTCGTTTTCAATGAGTTTAATCGCGTTTCAAAAACAATGTGGGTCAACGCCACGCTTGTGTTATTCCTGACACGTGAGCATGACCTTCTCGCCGTTTTCATTTCGATTTCGGTTTCCCATTCATGCCGTTGCAGATAGCACGCGATAATGAGCGCCGGCGTTTTTCGAAAGTTTTGACGTTGCGCGGCAATCCAGGCTGCCCTTTGCACTGCATTTGCAGCGGGGCGAACGACGAAATTCTATAAGAGTATAATTTAAGACGAGAGCTAACAATAAGTTTCGTCATTTGTAACTGTCCGTTTTACTAACGGTAGGAAAACAGAGGACCGTTTATATGCCCGTTTTGTATAGCTAATTGTAAGTTTTGGCACATCTATGTATTTTCGATAAATACATAGACGCGCAGATTTATATCCTAACGAAATGGAGAGAAGTGAACAATTCAATGATGTTTCCTTCATATGAAATCGACGGTCGTCAGGGAATTTCCCGAGGTGCGATCGCAAATCTCGGAG